AAAGAAAAGAAAAGAAAAGAAAAGAAAAGAAAAGAAAAGAAGGGAAAGGAAGGGAAGGGAAGGGAAGGGAAGGGAAGGGAAGGGAAGGGAAGGGAAGAGATGAGATGGCAATGCAGGGCTCTAGGTGCTGGCAAAGTGCACAAGGACATGCCTCTTGTCACATCCTGCCTCCCACCTCGGCCCAGGCTTTGCAGCGTCTTTACCAAAAGGAAGATCCATGTGTTAAGTGAATGAAATCAGTGACACTAACTTGTCCCTTAATTACGGTAGGAATGTCCTGTTTTAAGAAAACCCAGTAATGAGAAGCCATGTCGAAAAGACAGACGTATGAGGTGGTTTGTTCCCTTTACAAAAGGAGTCACAATAGTGTGATTACAATCCCCCCAAACACACCCAAATGTAGATTTGCATACAAATGTTCGAGAAAGTATCTGTCACCTACCTCCTGCTCCTCTTTCATGTTACTCTGCACTGTGACACCCGAGTGCTTCATGCATGGTTTGCAGAAGCCCTCTGCCTTGACATTGCATCTTTTCATTGGCTGAGAGTTTGTTTCCTAACGAATGTTGCTGAAAAGGATTCAGCACTCACTGGGGGTAGGAGAGGAAATGAGGGATTACTGGCTGGGGACATGGAAGCTGGTGCTCCCAAAAGGGGGTGGCTCACTTACAATTCTACCCAGATGGAGCTCCTCTTACACGGGAACCATGCCGGAGACCTTCAGGAAGGCTTGTGATGTAAAGGTACCAGGCTGAAGGAAGACCTCCAGCTCTATCCTGAAGGAAGCCACACCAAGAGCTATTTTCACAAACACACACACACCTCTCCCTTGCACAGCACACATGGGCCCCAACCTAATCCTACCACATTGTGCACTGGTGTATTTCTGCTCTCCTCTCTCGGCTACGTCAGCCAGCAAAGCTCTGTCCAGTGAGTTGCATGAGATGCCATGCTCTTGCGCATTTCCAGTCCCCAGAGAGTTCCCTGGTGCCCAAGTAACTAATAAAAGGTGACAAGTAGGAGGAGGAGATGGGTAGGAGGAAAAGAATTTGAGTGGGGAGAAAGCCTGCGAGGACAGCCAGCCAAAGTGACCTCACAGTGCTCGGCATGGTTCTTCCTTTGAGTGCTCCAGCATGTCGCCCTCCCTCCGCCCCTGCAAACCACGAGCATCTTGAGCTATTCCTCCCTGCCTCCCTAGCACCTCCCGCACAGGCACAGGTGCGGCACTGTGTCTGAACAAGCGGCCAGAGTGACCTCTTCCTGTGACCAGCCAAGAGCAAGCAATCAGAGGCTCCAAAGATGCCCTCCAAGCTGCTCGGATAAATCAAGAAAAGGCAAATCGTTCACTCACAGACAGACCTCATTTTTGAACATTTGCATCCTGTTACCGTGGTTATTCAAGAGGTAACAACACAGCAAAAGACTACACTTACGGAAAGAAAAGCAGCCCCAGCCCCCCACCACACAAAACATTTGAACCCAAGTTTCTGTCACGCTTCCCACCGGTCTGACTCACAGCTGATCTGTGGTAGGGACAGGAGCTCATCCCAGGGAGACTCCCGTACAACTTCCTAAGAGATCCTCCCATTGCTTGTTTTCATTCTAATAATTACAGAGTGATCAGGCTAGAAATTATAGAGATATTTATTTATGGTTGATCAAATGTAAAAAAAAAAAAATTGTTTTCTTCATCACAGGCAAAGTCTTAGGAAGTACTACTCTTGGTCTAAGTGAGATAGAACAACAGATTAAAGCTTTAAAAGCCCAAACAAATACCAAAATTTCTAGAGATTTATGAGTAATTTAAATAATATCCTAGAGGTTAAGAAAAGGGGAAATTTTTCAAACATTGTATGGTTTTGTTTTTCTTGGCTGTGGTTTTATTTTTGTTTTTGTGAGCTTTCTTAAGAGGAGGGGAAAATCCTTAAAAAGCAAAGAATTTGTCAATTTATTTAGGAAGGTTCCTGACCTTGGCTTCAAAATTGATGTTTTTGCCTTTATTCCTCCAAAGATGACCCCAGGTGATGGCTTGAGGCTTCTGCGGGGCTGATCTCTCACCCAGGGCACAGGGCTCATCCAGTGTACGCAGAAAGAGCTGGAAAATATTTTTGTGATCTGAGGCCACAGACCGAGGATTCCAGAGGAAGTGGAGGCCTCCCGCTCCACACAGGAAACAATCTTCAAGCAGGCCTTAAATGCCAGATTCCAGGCCGAGTTTAACTAACCACTGACAGCTCTGTAAACAAAGCGAGGACAGAAAGAGCCCGCTTCCCCTTTCCTGGTAGTCATTTTGGGTTTAGGGGCTGCAGGGAAATTCTGGAATCTTTGACTCCATGGCACAGAAACTCGGAGGAAGCAGGCTCCTGCTTTGAAGAGCTGGAAAGGAAGGTCTTTCCAGAATTAAAACCATCACCGAGGAGGTAGGAAAGGGTAAAATGGTTGGATTACATCTGTAGAGAGAGCTGAGATTTTTGAGCATGATCACTACTTAAAGCGCTCTTAAAAATGCTGTTTCATGATGTTTACTCATGGAATTATTGCTGCGGCCTTTATGAGTCCAGATGCTGATACTCTATTAGGGTATACAAATGATGCCTGGATGCTGAATTGTTTCTCTTTTACTTTTTTCTCTTCTGGGTTTATTTTTCTCTTTCTTTGTGCACTTTTTCATAACTTTTGTCTGGGGTTCAGCAAGTTACAATGAACAAAATTATTCAGTCACTCTCAAGTCATTCCACCAATATTGCAAGTCTTTAAAACCTCTCTGTCTCCTGGGGTCTTTTATAAATTTTTTAAAACTGTAATCCTGGGATCTTATGCATTTGTCTCTAATAATTTCAGGAATGATGCTGAGTTGAACTTGGTCGAGGAGTCAGAAGCTGATCGCAGACTACCTTATCAGACTGCTAAGGCATTTTCCTAAGACTAGAGAAAAAAGGAGGTGTGCAAAGGAAGGAGTCAATGCATGCCTGACTCAGAGAGGGTGATACTGACTCCACCTCTTCCTCCCCTTTTCATCTAGACATTACCTGGTCTCCTTAAAGCTGAAACATCACCATGGATGATTTTGAACGCCGCAGAGAACTCAGGAGGCAAAAGAGGGAGGAGATGCGGCTGGAAGCAGAAAGGTAGGATGTACAAATCGACAGAACCTTGTGTTTCATTGTTAACAATGTTGGTCCCAGACCTCAAAGACTGTTCCCACCGATGGTCCAAGCTGGGCCACAGTGCATATCAAACTGCATAGAAAAGAAGTAATGGAATGTTCCCTTAACATTGACTTTAAATTTTGCATTTAAAAACAGAGGAAAACAAACAAGTACGAAGAACAGAGAGCCTGGAAAAGAGTCACACAGTTGCATTTAATCCATACTTCTCATGGCTGAATTTTTAATGACATAGGCAATATGTACATAAAGGTTTAAAAGTTAACAATATTCAAATTACAGAAAATGTCAAATATTGAACACTGGAACTACGTAAGAGATGAATCTTTAATCTAAAAAAGGAAAGGCAAAAAGACCCAGAGGAATCCTGTGACAAATGTTTATTCTATAGAAAAGCACCCCAAGTCCGGGAATCGACGTAGGAGAGGTTAATGCCCAGTGGGCCATGCTGCTGTGAAGGTGAGATATAGCTGGAAGCTGTCACACTGGGAGACTCCTGGAGCAGTGACTTTGGGAACAGGTTGTAGAAATAAAGTATCAGCGTATAAAATATAGGGCACAAATGTGTATTTTAAGCCCCGAATGGATAACAGTGGCATTTAATGTTGCTTAAATTGGATGTTCTTTTGAGAAAGCAGATCAGACATTCACAGGAGAAAATTATTAAAAAATGTCCTTAAAATCAATTCAGTGTACATCCTAGTTATTCCAAGATACAGATCAAAAGATGGCAGTAAGATGATCCTTCCATGATCCTGCAGTAATAAACTGAAAACTTGCAGCAACAACAAAAGTATCAGGGGCCTATGTTCTACTTATTTGTATAAAGAATGCAGAGGAAGATAACATTCCTGCCTTAGAGTAGGTTGGTCAGAGTCTATGCACATACACAGAGCACCACAAATACTATGTGTGCTCTGTAGAATCACATCCTAGCCCCATGCCACTTACGAGCTCTGTGGTCATGAGCAGGTGACCTCTCTCTAAGCCACAGCTGCCTCATCTGTGTAGCATAAGAGCTACCTAGCTCATGTGCTCACCATAAAGATTATTGAAACTCCTAAGTGCCCTTCCCAGTACCTGACGGCCACTATAGTTATTATTATTATTTACCACTATCACTAGCTAAACAGGTTTTAAAAACCAGCTAGTAATACAGCAGGAACTAAATATTAACACCAAGAGAAGGAGAGGAAGTCATCATCCTTCAATGAAACTAGTCAGAAAGGGATTTCTGGAAGGATAAGCCACAGAAAGTAATGGGGATGAAGAAGACTGAAGGGAGGCAGTCTAAGGGAGGGATTGACCCCAGCAAAACTCAGGAGTGGAAATACAAATCCTGGAGCAAGACATCTGTTTAGTGCTTGAGGTAGAAGGTGTTGGTCTTACGCGTCTTGGGTGTTTTGCTATAATTGGGATAGAGAGAGGCGTAACAAGTCAGCTATGTGTGATGAAGCGTTTTGGAGAAAATCATCTGCCGTGGACTACAGCAAGGAGATACTGGCACGGGGAGAGTTAGTACTGAATACACAGCCTGCGTCAGGGCACTGACTACAGAAATGGAGAGATCACATGTGCAAGTCTGTATAGAGCGGGGCAAGCCTTTTAGGAAAGGGAAAAACTCAAAGACAGTTCCAAAGATGGTGAGTCTAAGGAGCTGGAAAGAAGGTCTCCACTTTGTCCCAATGGAAAAAGATGGAGGGCCAGGGATATAGCTCAGTGGCATAAGTGCCTGCCTGGCAAACACAAGATACTGAGTTCGATTCCCGGTACCAAAAAAAAAAAAAAAAAAACAAAGGGAGAAGATGGGAAAGATTCCTTTCTTGAGTGGTCATGGGCATAATGTCTCATTTCAGGTAGAAACCACATCCAAATGAAGACTTCCTCCAAGTGGTTGGAGACAGAAAATTTCAATCTTTGTTCAGAAAAGAAGAAAAGTTATTATTAGAAAAGTGCATGTGGGCAAACTCATATCGTAGCGGTGACATAATGATAGTCCAAAAAATCAAGTATGCAATGAATGAGAGGTCCTAAAAACATAATAGACACTGTCAAAGGAGAGGAACTGTCAGAGGTGGGGGACAACCAGGGAGAGAAGTGGACATCAAAGGCTCATAGAGTGTCCAGGCAGAACCAGTGGAGCAAACTCCTGTTCTTTCCAATGCCACGTTACTTGGCTTCAAGATCCCCTGACAATCTGCAAAATACCTTCCCTACAAGGTATTTATTAAGCACCGACCAGTTTCCAGTGTCTGTGCTTCGGGTGGGGGAAATGATGCTGATAAACCAATAGACATGGTTTCTGCCTTTGTGTATTTCAGGTCATGGCAGGAAACTAGAGTTGAGTAGGAGCAGAAAATCAGTCAAAGTGCAGGAGCAAACCTACCAGAGGGGAAGCTAGGGCTCGGAAAGGAGGACCTGGATATTAGGCTTCATGTTAGAGTCATATTATCAGCTTCTTTGCTTTCTCCATCAATGAAAGTTAGGGAATCGCTGTGAGAGAAACGATAGGATGAACTGTCTGTGGTCAGAGCAACACTGGGATGAAACTAGGTCAGCCCAGGGTTTTCAGATCCAGGACTTTGCCTAAGAACTGACCGTACAGCTACTGTACTTGATTAATTCTTCTAGTAATTGTAATTGTGTGTGCATGCATGTGTGTGTATAAGGATTTATTTCCCTTTAATGATAGTCTGAAAAGGAATTTACACAGTAAAGTTTAGTGAGGTATCTCTCATAACCTAAAAAAAAAAAAAAAAAAAAAAAAATGGCCTGAATTCCAACATGTTTTACTTACAGTTGTCTTTATTACTTCTTTTGATAGATCATGTTCTACAGTCTCTCTCTTTTTCTCTCTGTCTCTTTCTCTCTCTCTCTTCTTCCCCTCCATCACTCCCTCCCCCCTACATTTCTTTTTCTCTGAAAGAAAAATAAAGTACTCCCTTATACTTGTACTAAGCTTACCTTTTCATGTTTCAAGGTGAACCTTCTAATTCTGTTATTCTAGGATTTTATAAATCCACGTTCATTCTTCAGGACTTTGTAAAATTTGATCATGTATGGGGGTAATGAAGGTGAGGCCTTATGATCCAGCCAGCTTCAGTGTCCCGGAAGCAGATTCCCTGAACCAGAACTCAAGGACTTTTCTACAGTCATGGTTCTGATCTGAAGGCAAAGGGCCATACAAGACCCTGCACAAGTCTTTCTTCCTCTGGCTCTAGCCTTGACTTCCTCTTCTATCACAGTTTTCTCATGAGGATTACAGTCCTTCTTATATTCCTTGTGCTTTTGATATTGTCCACATTTTTTTGGCAAGAATCATATATTACTTGACTAAAAATCACATAAATAATACAACAATTTTCCATAGAAAAAATAATTATGCTACCCTATGCAGTGTGTACCTAGAGCCAGTCAGCAGAAGTTCTAAAATAACGAGAAAAAACTATTCCCAGACCTGGAATGGTAGTGCAGCAAGTTAGCCAGAATAAGTAGTTCCAAGGCTCAGAGCTACAGATCCATCCATCCATTCTCAACACATTCTTGGAGGGTGTTTTTCGGTGGTGGTGGTACTGGGAATCGAACTCCTGACCTCACACTTACAAGGCAGGCACTATGCCACTGAGCTATATCCCTGGCCAATCTCAGCACATTCTTATTCAGCATCTCTGCTGCTCCAGACTCTGCTAGAGCCACCAAAGAGAGAACAGAGGGACAGAATTAGAAAAGTGTGTTTAATGCTTTTCAACCTAGACAAAGCCAAGTGGTGATCAAAAAATAGTTTTATAACCTCGAACACAATGTGCACCTTCATATTGGTTTAGTAATAAAGATGACTTATCCTTTATGGCATGAGAAGTCTTGTACTTTTATAGTCTTTTTATTTCTTTTACCTTTGTGTCCTGCACCCCTGACCCCTGGGGGGAGAGGGTTACTATAGAGGAGAGAAAGTCTACTAACTTAGAAACTTTGCAAGTAAAAGACTCTGTTGCTTGAATACATTGTTATTGAGTTTGATCAGTAGGTGCATTTCTACTTTGCAATGATAAATCATTTAAAACTTGCACTCTGACCAGATGTCATAACCACAAATTTAAGTAAGTCTCATTCTTAGACACTTCATTTCTCTAGAATAGTCTTTAAAAGATCACTGGAAATGCTAGCTACATGCTCTGTGTAGCATTGGCTCTCATGCCCGGAACTAGTACTTACTCATTGCAGAAGGCTGCTCTGTCTTTGCCTTACAAAGACCCCAATCTGGGCACTATCCACTTCAAATGATCCAGCTTTGCAATAATCTAGATTGGAAAGCTGGTTAACCGAAATGTCCTTCCTTTTTTTTGTCTTGCCTCTGAGCCTGTGTAACTTCATGGTATTCACCTCATCCTTGTCCTTATTTAGCTTTTGCACTCCACATTTTTGAGATGAGGGCTTTAGATTTGAGTTTATATCTACAAAGCTCCTTATCCTACACTAAACTATAGGATCCATGGTCACAAGTAGGGAGAGTTTATCAGTAGTCACAAAACTCATATCCTTAAGTGGGTTAGCAACTGTAGTTAAAGTAATCTGGACCAAAGAGGAAGAAAAACATTTCAGTAGACAGAAAGGAATGTATAGGTAATCAGAAAATCTGTAATGCATGTTTCTGAGCCAAGAATATTATTTGTACACATCTCAAATTAAGCTGCATTTTACCTGTTTGAACAAATAAATAAGTAAAAATTGAGTTTTGCTGCTTATTATCTCTGTTAATCTCGTAGGAATACAAATTTAAGTAGATGTCTTCTGTATTTTATTCCAATCCCTCTCACTCTGCCTTTGTCTCCGTATTCCTCTGGGCACTTTCCTGTACTTTTCCCTAACTGTGTGTGCATTTTCCCCATACTTAATTCTTCAGTTTCAATATCTCTGCCTCTGTGGACTTGTGGACAATCTAGTCTGGATTGCATCTTCACAGG